AGCCACCTATCAAGCATTAATGAACCACATTTTCCAGCCTTACTTGGGTGACTGGATGGATATCTACCTAGATGACTTAGTGATTTATTCAGACACAATTAAGGATCATATGCAACATCTCAGAACTGTCATTGATATATTACACAAAGAGAAATTCTACCTCAGTGAACATAAGATGCAATTGTTCCAGAAAGAATTGAAGATACTAGGCCACATTATTGATGATCAAGGTATTAGAATGGACCCTCATAAAGTCGATTCTATTCAACAATGGAAAGTACCTACTAATAAAGATTTGTTACAAGGTTTCTTAGGATCAGTAGGGTATTTAGCACCCAATATACCTCAATTACACATTTCTACAGGTATTTTATCAAAGATTGCAGGAGAAACCACATTTTTCAGATGGACATTCACTGAACAGCAAGTGTTTGATCAAATAGTAAAGCTAGTATCAGATTTCAGGCATAATCACAGGATAGTATTGGACTACAGTAAGAATGCACCACCTATCAACATTGTTACAGATGCTTCAGCTTCAGGAATTGGAGGAATAGTCAGCCAAGGTCATGATTGGAAAGATTCCAAGATAGCAGTGTTTTTCTCAGTGAAATTAAACCCTGCACAACAGAATTACCTAGTACACAATGTAGAATTACTAGCAGGAGTAGAAACTATGCTAAGACACAAGAATCTACTACAAGGAATGCATTTCTTTTGGTATACCAATTATAGAGTGTTAGAACACATTCTAAGGCAACCAGTATTAAGTGGAAGACAAGCCAGATGGCTAGAGAAGATATCAGACTTTGATTTCATTGTAAAATACATTCCAGGCACTACAAACATTCTTGCAGACACATTATCACACATATACTCAGGAGATTTACCAGGAACAACTCAATCTCAGCAAGAATATACATTACAACTCAATGACAATAATCTATCAAGGATTAATCAAGTCAGGAATAACATTTCACAGCTGTTAGAGATACAGGATACTGTATATATTGAGGCTAGACTAGCAGTAGTAAGGAAAACTTTACCTTGAGGATTGATTGCAAGTTGACTGCACAGCAGAAAGGCTAGATTAATTACCAGACATGCTAGAAACTCACAGACAAACCTCCAAACAGAGGGTGGGCCTGCTACAAGGACTAGAAGCTGGTTTACAATACTAGAGAATGTAGAGCAAGATCAGGAAACAGACACACACAGTGAGGTATTGGAAACACTGCCTCAGGACACTGAACAATCAGATTTGCATGAAATAAATTCACCTACAAACATACCAGACACTGGAAGTAATACACAAGGATACAGACATTCAGACAATGATATTAGATCAGAAATTAATGATCAGAACGTCCCAGTACTAAAGAACACTACTGATCAACTCTGGAACTCGATTGAACCTCAATTACCTGATATTATAGCTCAATCTTCACTGGATTTACAATTCCTGGAATGTCTCAAAGGCAGATATCATGAGGATAGCTTCTTCAATCAGATATTACAAGATCCGAAGCACTTCCAGAATTTTCATGTCGAAAATGGACTCATATTTTGCCAGGAGGGTGAGAGGTACATACTTTACATACCTAGAATTCTAATACACAACAGAAACGCTAGGGAAATTGTAATAGAGCATGCACATTCTATTTTGGCACACCTAGGACTGCAAAAGACACTTTCATACCTTAGAGAACAAGTTTGGTGGAAGGATATGATCATAGACATTAATTCCTACTGTGATTCGTGTCATACATGCAAGATCAGCAAACCTAACAATCAGAAACCGTTTGGTTTACTACATCCACTCTCAGTACCTAATAGGCCTTGGGAAGGCATAGGAATGGACTTTGTTAGACCTTTTCCTGAATCAAAGAACTGTTTGGGACCTTTCAATATGATTTGTACAGTTATTTGTCTATTAACTAGTATGGTACACATTATTCCTACTAGGCAAACGTACAGAGCAAGAGAAATTGCAGAGATAGTATTTGAAAATGTCTATAAACTGTATGGACTGCCTAATTACATTGTTAGCAACTGTGATTCCCTATTCACCAGTACGTTTTGGAGAAGATTACATGAACTTATAAGTATTAAATTGAAGCTATTGAGTGCATATCATCCACAGACCAATGGATTGACTGAGAGAATGAACAGAACAATTACTCAGATGCTCAGACAGTGTATTTCTCCTAAACAAAAGGATTGGATACATAAACTACCTATGATCAAGTATGCTATCAATACAGTAAGGTCAGAAACTACAGGATATGCACCATTCTTTCTTAATACCAGCAGGATGCCAAGGAACTTGATATGGAACAACCCTAGGAAGGATGAATATCCTAGAGTAAGGACTTACACTCAGAAAGTAAAGGATGCAATACTACAGGCACACAATACAATCCTTCAGGCAAGGGTAAAGCAAACTAGACATGCTAATAGACACAGATGACCCTCTTCCTTTGAATTAAACAATCTAGTGTATGTTTCTACTTAGAACAAGAATTACC